AATAAAAGTGATATGGCTAAGAATAAGTCTCCTACAAAGAATTTCCTACAATAATACATTATCTCAATCATAGTACTATGTAACAATTCCATTTAATGTTATGCCAACACTAGCTAAAATAAAATGTCACTGTTTTTTTTACTGGCTTTACGGCTCTGGGTTCTAGCTCTTCTGAAAATGTCACTATGATACAAAAGACCTGGAGCCATGCCAGAAATATACATTTATAGTATGCAAATATATAATAGAGATACAATTATCTAAAAGCTCTCAATTATGTATTAAGCTAACATCAAACAACCACAGGAAGCATGACTTTTTCCAAGTGACATAGGACATAACCTCAAAAGTTCAAATGTAAATATCTTTTTTTTGACGCCTTCTCAGTACAAAATTCCTTGACAGAGTTATTAAGAGACTGAGGCTTAACATTTTAAGATATTTTTGGTATATAGACGCTATCATTTCTTCTCAACTAATTTTATGTATGAAAGTCTGCCATTATTCTTTTTAGTTACATCATATAATAAAAATATTTTTAATAATTTTAAACTTATATACCTACGGATTTGTTCGGAACGCTCGGTGCGCGAGTCCGACTTGCACTTGGCCGGTTTTTTTTACTACCACTACAATTCGCCCAGGGAGTAGGTCAATATTAGTTAAGACATGACCCCTCTAATCTAAGTCTTACTGTTTAGCCGAGCAGTAGTACACCATCACCTCGAAGAGCTGAACGCGGACGTCATTTTATTCGTATTCTTCTCAATGAACCCTTTCATTTTTAATATCTATATCATGTTAAATTTGAATCCCATATCATGGGAGTGCATAAAAAAATAACTAGACCGCCATCTTGGGCAGTCCGCCATATTGGATTTAGAATGACGTCACTTAACTAATCATTCATTGTCATCCAAGCTATATATGTATGCAAAATTTTAGCTCAATCAGCTGAAGATAACTGCATTGAAATGCAGTTGCAAGATTTGACCCTAACAAACAAACATTGCAATTTAAATAAAAGCTTTTAAAAACAATTAAATTTCACAACCAACCCAACTCCTTTCGCGTTATAATAGTTAATCCGCGATTTTGTAGAGTTTAAAGTGTTCTATGGCAAGACCATTTCGTGGGAGGCTAAGGTATGTAACGTTACGGAATCTCCAAAAAAAAAGAGTGTTCCAGTTTCTTTGACTGGTAGACCCATAAAAGTTAAAGTTACAGCTTATATACGTCCCACTACTGGGAACAGGCCTCCCCTCGTTTCTGAGCGGGTACGTGTTAGCGAAGTTTACACGTCTTCTAATGACATGTAAGGTTTTTTCTTATTTCTCAAACATACAGGTTTCCTCACGATGTTTTCCTTCACCGCCGAGTAGTAAATCAGCACTTAAAAGTGTAATTAACAATTTCTTTGATGCTGGCGAAATTACAAACGAGATTTACCATGAACGCTTAGCCGTTAAGCTACCACGGCTCCCTGCGTGGTAGAGCCATGCTTCAGCTATATTATGATAACTTGCACGAAAAGGCTCTACCGTTGTCCACGGAGAGGAAGGACCAAGCTCTCACAGAATGCCAGCGTGAATACCCTTTTTTACTGGAAAATTTCATCTGAGGACTAACCAGGGGTGACAGCGCATCTGCATTTTCATTTTTAATTAAGGATAGATTTAGAACGTAGATGTCTATGGGCCAAAGCATTCACTAACATTATGTGGACTGTGTGCTCTCATGTCATCTTTATTCCATAAAAAAGTAGTTATTTTTTTTACTTATAATATATTCATTTTCTCCCTGGTATAGGCAAAACAAGCTCTATCTATAGCTGCATTAATGTAGCTAGCACACATACAGGCTCGAAAATTACACGAATACTACACATGGAATAAAATTAATTTTATGGGTTTTATCGCGTTTAATTAAATATATTTTTATACGAAGTAGAGCCATGTAGCAACTATATTATGGTTAAGGAATGGGTCGGCTATACCGGGGAAGGAACACACTCACACAGAATACCAACCTAAAATAGTAGCTTAATGCTGTGTGTTTCATATGGTTAGTGTCAGAACCGGACACCCTTTTTACTGGAAAAGAGGCATCCCACCTTAGTCCTCAGGGGTAACAACGCATCTGCATTTTGATTCTTAATCGAGAATAGATGTAGATGTCTATGGGCCAGGCATCCACTTACCATCAGATGGGCTGTGTGCTCGTTTTTTAATTGTAATGTTGTGCCGACGTGAAACACTGAGCTTCGGGAAGGCTGCAGTCTGTTCAAAATAGTCCACACCATTACATCAGATTTGATAAATCACAAATCCTCGCAAAAGAACACCGATTCCTACCAAGGATAATTCGCGAAGCTAGTGAAATTAATAAATTGTCCGAATTTCAATATAGAAGATGGCTGGGTTCTACCACCTGCTTGAGATCGTATAATTAATAAAATTAAATCCAAACCCATACAAACCACTTCAAAACTTTAAGATACTGTAAACTCGTTCTGCATTCTGAGTTATCTATGATATTGGAACGTCAAGTAAAGCACCGAAACTTCGGGAATTAAAATAATTAAAAATAAGTTAAATTAAATCCAATAAAATCAGTTTTATTCAATAAACTGTGTTATATCTCTGACACAGCATCTTAGGTGGAATGTAATTATTAAACGCGACCCCACGTTACATCCTTTCAAAGGTCTATTTATTCATACTTAACTTATACATGCACGTATTTATCTTATACGAATTATTTAGACTGGCACTTTAGATATTACTTTTAAACACAAGGATTATCCGATAGCCTCATACTGTTTAATGCACTTTACGAGTAAACATTTCCCCTGATAAATTAAAACCAGGTTCAAAATAAGTGTACTTTCTTGTTTATTTTACGATTAACGATAAGTGTTCCTTTATCGTTCAATTTGTATACCGATACCCCAAATGACGAAATTCATGTTATAGTTCCTTTTAGTTTAAAACTTTAGTGTTAATTTTGTGTCTTACAATCTAATTTAGACAACGATTTAAAAATAATACGAGTAATTACGTGCCTTTAAAAATATTTATTGTAATCATTTTAATCTTGTTTGTTTCAATAATTTAACACATGTATTAACATAGAAATATATACAATATTAGAAAGCTACAATGATGAAGAAACTAAAACTAAAAACTTAATTTATCATACAGTCCATCTCTCAGTGGTATCGTACCAAAAACGTTGACTGCGATTCCTCGCTGAATGTCTATACTTAGTAGCCTTTCAGCGAGAAAAGAACCAGTCTCTTATGATTCGCAGCGAGGACCAGTCGCGGATACTGTTCCTTTTGAAACTTCACCGCGCGTGGACCCCACGGACCTATAGTCTCTACAGCAAATGGCACAAGTATGGTGTATGCACATGCACAGTAAATTGCAGAAATATAAAAGTAGTCATCATAAATTTTAATCTGAATTTCTTTATTTTAAAAGTATTTTCACTTATCTATTAATTTTTAATTTAAATGTTAAAATATTAGTATGTTATAAATCATGTGGATAGATAGCTAGAAAATTCTTTATAAGACTCAGAACATTTCGTACAAAGTTAACTTCTTCTAACTCTTCAGTTATACTTAGTTAGTGTGGTGAAAGCTATTGGTAGATCAGTGACAAAACCAACAATCACTTATTCTAACATATTTATAATGTATTATATGATATAAATATGAATATCACCTGGCGGCAAATATTCTCTGGGATAACACCCAGTGGTGGATTATCCTTAAAGAAAATCAGTTTATAAACGAAAAATAAATAAATAATACTTGCATAAAATTAAAATAAAATATACTTTCTATAGAGATGTAGAGCTTCCAAAACGCGCCTCATTTACATAAATACTCTTGCATCGCCCTCACTCTCTCATTGCATTTTTCATTCACACCCACCTGTTACGTGTTCTAATTATTTTACAACTAGACTATATTATTAATTATACTATTTGCAAAATATACTTACGTAGTACGTATATATAATTTATTATATATGACCACCAGGCCTAGCCTAGCTTAAGGCGTTGTCGGCATTTAAACCGCCAGTAGGTACACCTATCTTAATGAACTTAGAAATCTGTAACATTATAGGTACCTAATTACATAAATCCATCCAAATCGTTTGAACCGTTTCCCAAAAATAAATTACACATATTTATATACGAGAAATAAGACACTTTATACTGCATATTATGAAATAATGTATAGAAAAATCCCGTCCGATCCGCAAGCGTGCTAAATGAAGTATTTTAATAGATATACTTACTGAAAGATAATTTTCTATGTTTGAGGATGTTCATACTTTTTGGGTGTAATTAAAGTGACAATAGTTTTTTTTTTTCTAAAATAATCTTTTTATAAAAACTGGATCGGAACAAACAACCCGTCATTATTGACCACAATCAAAACAACTTTTACGTGGTAGAGCCATGATGCAGCTATATTAGTAGTAGGTATAGTTGTAGCACGAATGGGTCGGCTCGACCGGGGAAGGATCATGCTCTCACAGAATACCAACGCAAAATATCAGCTTAATGCTGCTGTGTTTCGTATGGTGAGTGTAGAGAACCGGAGACCCTTTTCACTGGAAACGAGGCATTACATCTTAATCCTCATGGGTGACAACGCATCTGCATTTTAATTCGTAATCGAGAAAAGATGTAGATGTCTATGGGTCACAGTAACCACTTACCATCAGGTGGACTGTGTGCTCGTTTGTCACCCTATCCTATAAAAAAAAACTACTGAACATATTTTAATAAAACAAATTTCTTTGTAATGAACCATGTATAATAAACTCATTCATTCGTTTGAGCCTATCGAAAATCCACTTTCCCCCTGTGGCCTCTTATGACACCCACGGGATGATATGGGGTAGAGAATATTCTTACACGGCCGCTACACGGTTAAATAAAAAGGTGAAAGTAAATAGCAACGAACGTTTTTGTTTCAGTGGGTGAATGGGAAGTTGATGGCGTACCACGAAATCGGCCACCTGCCTTTCGAGGTGGAAATTACAAAGGAAGTGTATCCAAACGCGAGCAACTTGCTGACCGTGGTGGTGGACAACACGCTACTTAGCGACACTGTACCCCAGGGAGTTATAAAGGATACTATCATTGGGTAAGCCAAAATAATGCGCCAAATAATGAATATAAATGAGACAATTCAATCAAGAATTATTCATTAAGAAATCACAAGTTTCACAAAGTAAGCACATAGGCCGCTAAATAGTAAAATAAGTATATATTGCCTCGTGCCCGTACCTACAGCTACCCTATATTATGTCTAGCCAGGTGTTAGAACTATCGAAACTGTCTGGCTACTTAGGAAACATCTTCTAACGGTTACCGAAATAACATATTATATAAAATTCAGCTAATAACGTAAGTACGGATACAATTTATTAAAGTTTAAGGATTTCTGGTAAGGGGTTGCCACGATACTAAGTGTCTGGCAACAGATAACGTGATTTGTAATATTATTCCGAAGAAAATATGAGAAAATTACACTTTATACTTAGACAATTTTAAGTTGTTACCCAAGCAGCATGCAAGCTATATACGAGCTGTATTGAATTTCGTTTTTATACTAGGCTGTACTTTGTGGCTATATAAAAGCTGTATAAGCGTTTATACAGTTCTTATAAGTAAAAAATTGGCACAAATTATGCAGCTTTATGCGTTAGTAGCGCATAAAAGAGGCTGTATAACCGCTGCTTTACAGCTGTTATTTGGTGTCCAAGGAAACTATTACACTACATATTATATTGTCTTGTATAAGTAACTTGTAAAGACAAACGTTCGAAATTGTTTTTTGAACGGAATCACGAATTAATATAAAACAAAAAGTGTATTGAATGATGGCGACATTTAATGTCTTAACATATATTTAACATTGAAAGCAAAGTCAAGAATTTGTTATAGAGGTACACCATAACCTTTTTAACCCTTTTAAAACAAAATAGTTAACAGAGCATCACATAAAACACCGGTCCAATAAATTTTCATTTAAGATTTTAAATAATATTTAAAAGTCGATATGATAAATCTTAAAACAACACAAATATGCGGCAGCGTTAAGTAATAAGTCAATGAGTTCTTTGACCATTTAATTTTTCGCATCTTGATAAGGTCAATTGCATGAACAACATTGTTTGTTAGATATACGTTGAACAACAATTGTGTATCGTTTTTATACATTGCATTATTATTATTTTATTTGTTTCAAATTCATTTCTTTTTCTTTACTAAATAGCAAATCTATTAATCTGATCTAATAGGTAAAAAGCTCTTACAAATCTTGTCGATATTTACCACAATAGCAATAACATTCAATAATGCAGTCATAAGCAATAAAATCTTTACTCACGTCACTTCAAACCCACAAAACCGCTTTTCCGTCCTGATGCATCTCACAGATCTCTCGCCACAACCACCACAATTTTATCTTATCAATTTATTTCTGGTCCTCTTTTAAAATATGGATGACATGCCATATCAGTGGACCCAAAATTATTGGGAGAAAGCTCAAGGTGGGCTAATAATTATAACATCAGGATAATGAACACTTCAATCTCCCCATGACCTTAGATGCTGCAAACCATTCGAAACGTTTTCTAAATGAATTATAATTATACGTGATAAAACTATAAAATTAATTCAATCGTGAATTTTATCAAGTGAAAATTGAAGTTCTAGCTTCAGATTTTAAATTTTTATACTAATTTAGTGCTTTAAATTTGTCATATTATTTTTAGCAACGGCAAGGTTCGCCAGGAGCAGAGCTACACATTCGATTTTTTCAACTACGCGGGCATACATCGCACAGTTTTCTTGTACTCAACACCACAGCTATATATTGATGATGTCATAGTGAACACTGATATACAAGGACTGACAGGTAAATAACGTATTTACAAGTAAAATATATAATAGGATGAATAAGGTGCTTAAGAAACAGCCTACATACTTTCTAATTATAAGAACATTACTACTATTGAACAGGAAAGAACTTGCTCAATATTATTATTATTTTTGGGGTTATCTATAAAGTTTTCTCATCTGGTTGGGCTGTTTAAATATATAATTATAAACGAAATATATAAACATACATAAATATCAATAAAATAGTATAAATACATAAAAAATACATAAATATATAAAAAAACCCAACCAGATGGAAGCCCTCGGCAGGGGAGACCAAACGGCCGAGGGTTAGGGGGAAAGGGAAAGAAACCGGCGGACGATGCGGGCGGTATCGAGGAGCACCGCCTTCTGCATTTGAGCTTGGAGCGGTCCGTCACGGAGTCCCAGTCGCCTCAGATGACCCGAGAGGCTAACTGGGATTAACCCGTTCGCAGAAACGACCACAGGAATAATTTCGGCCGGCAGACCACCCATCACCACCACCATCATTATTATTATTATTTCACTTAAATCAGCACTTAAAATTGCAATTAACATTTTGAATGTAGCAGCAGCGAACTAAGGTTGCTCGCGTATTATGAAATCCTACTTTCAGTCACTGGTTTCAATAATACAATTAACTGTTGTAAAACACTACCTATTCTTTCTTATTTAACGAATATAACACATTAAATGAAACTAATTAGGGCTTAACGTATTTTAAATACCCAACGCTTTGAGTGCTGTACAGCACCCGCGGTCATAGGCAGCATCTAAAATAATCTATACAAATAAAGGTCGGGGAAAAAGTTTCTTCGTATTTTATATACAAGTTCAAGACATTTTTTTTTCAATGTTTAATTACGTTTAATTATAATCTATACAAATAAATAAAATTGAAGTGTCTGTTTGTAATGTCATAACTACAGCTTTTTACCAAATTCATATGAAAGTATATACGGTATTAATAACAAAAATTCAATCTTTAATGTTTTTGTTTGTCTGTCTGTCTGTCCGTCTGTCTGTCTGTTTGTTCCGGCTAATCTCCGAAACGGCTGAACCGATTTTGACGGTATTTTTACTGGCAGATAGCTGATGTCACAAGGAGTAACTTAGGCTACTTTTATTTTAGAAAGAGAATTAGGATTCCGCGCAAAAAAAAAAATTAAAACCCCAAATAACACGAGGGCGAAGTCGCGTAGAACAACTAGTCTAAAATAAATGTAACTAAGCGCGTTAAATACCTACGATATTACTTTTATTCAATTGGTAATTTTAATTAAAATAAAGACTAACTTTCACACCTACAACATAATTTATTTCATTGAATCATATCATCATCATCATCGTCATCGTTAATGCGATAAATAGCTGAGATAAAATGATCAAAGCCATTTGTAAAATGCAAATTGAAAAAAAGACACTTCTACTAATATACGAGTACCAGAATGGAAACATTCATTGCTGATATATTTACATGTCAACAATGCGACCGAGATGATATCAACATTCCGCTAGTGGTACAATGAGGTCTAACGGTCCGACCTATTTACGTTGCAACCTGTCGTTTGGATTGTAAAGGATTAATTTATTTTTGACTAGCTGTCCCTCGCGACTTCGCCCGCGTTGAATTAACAACGATTTCATGGGTTTTAACTTTTTGCGCGGAACCCTAATTTATTTTTCTAAAATAAAAGTAACCAATGTTACTCCTTAATATAATATATTAATAAATATAATAATGCTATATCTAAATTAGTAAATTGGTTCGATGTTAATAATTTGCATTTAAATGGCACTAAAACAAAATGTATGAAATTCGTGACTCCAAATGTCAAACAATTAAATACTAATGTAATTTTAAATGGGGAGAAACTGAGTCTTGTAGATACCACCATTTTTCTTGGAATCACACTAGACGCGAAGCTTCAATGGAGCCCCCATATATCAAAACTAGCAAGCAGACTTAGTTCTGCAGCATATGCTGTAAAAAAGATTAGAAGTCTAACCAGTGTTGAAACAGCTAGACTAGTTTACTTCAGCTACTTCCATAGCATAATGTCGTATGGTATTTTGCTATGGGGACACGCAGCTGACACAGAAATTATATTTGTTTTGCAGAAGAGGGCCATAAGAGCAATTTATGATTTAAAGCCTAAAGAGTCGCTGCGACAAAAATTTAAGGAAATTAATATATTAACTTTGGCCTCTCAATACATTTATGAAAATTTAATGTACGTACACAAAAATAAAAGTAGTTTTATAAAAATAAGTGATATTCATTCTGTAAATACTAGGAACAGACACAAGCTAGTAGTACCAGTTACTCGACTCCATCGAGTCAGTAATTCATTCTTGGGGCGATGTATACGCTTTTACAACAAAATTCCAGAAAATATACAAAGTTTGGCCTGTTCAAAGTTCAAAAACTTTATTAAACTAAGTTTGTATAAAAAGGGTTATTATAATATTAAGGAATTTATGGATGATAATAACCCCTGGAAATGAGGTGATCGCTACCAAGCTATTTCTAATTTGTTGTGTTGTTAATTTGTGTAACATCATGATTGTAAGCTGTTATTTAAAAAAAAAAAGTCCCGCTGGGTTTCTTGCTGGTTCTTCCCAGGACAGAGGTTTTTTCCGAACCAGTGGTAATCAAACAAAAGAATGACTTTCAATAAGTATTATTTATAATCTATATTGAATAAAAAAGTTTCTGTTTCTGTTTCTGTTTCTTATAATGTCAGCTATTTGCCAGTGAAATTCCCATCGAAATCGGTCCAGCCGTGTCGGAGATTAGCCGGAACAAACAGACAGACAAACAGACATACAGACAGACAGACATAGATACAGACAGACCGAGAAACCTTTTAAAATTGTTTTTTTGTTATTAGTGCCGTATATATTATATATTATTTATTATTATTCATATGCATTTATTTATTTAAACTTTTATGCACAAAAGAAAAATCTTATATATTATGGCGGACTTAATGATGGCATTATTCCAAAGGCTTCCGCGACTAGCCAATGGTGGCAAATCGAGCATTACTATCGCTAGAGTGTTCATAGAAATACATTCTAGGCCTGCCTATGCTCCAGCTCCAACTTAAAAATGCTATTGATAATATGTGACATGGCGCAAGTGAATCTACCACCACATCTCATCCCAAACGTCGTAGGACGCGAACGAAGAAGATCCAATGGCCGCAGATAGATGGGGGGGGGGGGGGGGGGTAAAATCTCATATGCCAGATATAAAACGTATTACAATAAGTACACGCTTATTTTGTGGCAAGGACGGTAAATTCTCGTTTCAATGGAAGAGATTAAATGTTTGGCTGTGGACTTTATACGTATTTATCGCGAAGTAAAATTATCCGAAATGCCGAAATTTAAAAATAATTTAAAAAAAGCGATAACTTCCATAAAATTATTTTATTCACTAGAATGCCTTTTAAAATAGTATATAATTAACAAAATGATAGTATTAATTTGGTAACATCTCTCATTTAAAAATTAATTTCTTTCCAGGATTTATCGTATACAATATCACACACCAAGGAACACCAAGCCCAGACAACGTGGAGTGCCTGGTACAAATATTTGACAAAAACGACTCGCAAGTTGCAGCATCGCACGACTGTGCCGGTCTCATTGAAATAGGCAACGCTAATTTCTGGTGGCCTTATTTGATGCATCCTTCTCCTGGTTATTTGTACACATTTAAGGTAGATATTTCAAGTAATTCTGTGTGGTCTTTATTCGGTTTTTTTTTTCATAAAATATTTAAAAAAAACGAATAATATTCTATACTAAGTTAGTTATTACTTCCAATAAAACTAGAAATAACAAATGACGCACAATATATTATAATTCTTTTTTCATTCATTATAGGCCCCCATAGATTCCTCCCCATAGATTTTTCAAAGGGGGATCTGCGATAGTTGCCTCGCTTAGCAGGCGGTTGGGAACCGCAGTTTATTTTTGTTTTTATTACGGAGACACTGCTCGCCTATTGTTTCGATTTCCCCCTTCGTCTCTTACCCACGGGACGATTATGGAGTAGTGGATATTCTTACATCGCTACTACACGGTATATTATACTCACAACAAATAAATTAGGCACTTACTCTTCCCACAAAAGTTTATAAAAACTTTTCAATGTAATAGTTATGCAATAACATAAGAGGAAATATTGATAGTCACCCAGAAATATAATTGTATTGCACAAAAAATTGCCAAATGGATTCGAACTAGACAGGAAAGCTATAAAGGAGTTAAAAGATCATTTAAACATATTAATGGATATTTTTTTATTCAGGCTAGCCTAATCGGTCCAAACGGTGAAATAGTAGATACCTACAACCAGAAAGTGGGTATAAGAACGGTTACCTGGAGCAACACATCGGTGTTCATAAACGACAAACCAATATATCTCAGAGGTTTTGGCATGCATGAAGATTCAGATGTGAGTAAATTGTGATCATTATTATTCTTAATTAATTAATTAATTTTTTTGTTTATTTTTAATGTACTCCACGATCTACACGTGGTTAAGTTAAGTCCATCCAAAAGCCAAGAACTTTTTAGTGATAATGTCTCAGACAAAATTTAGACGAGGGAATAGGTCGCCGCCGCGTAGTCTAAATGCGTGTGGCGGACGTACATATTCTCTAAATCTAAATATTTTTCATGTCTCAGATACGCACGTTACCTCGCAATGTTTTACTACATTGCCGAGCTCGTGGTAACTCACAACTTAAAATTATAGGAGAATCCACCTCGGTTTGCTAGCTTACTATAAAATTAACTCTAAAATATTTAAATTTTATTTACAAACGTTCCCTTTTCTTGTTTACTTAACAATCATATTATGCTAATAAAGCACTGTTACTTCATATAGAGAACGATTTAATTTTTTTAATCCTGCAACAATGGAGCAAAACATCCCAGATTTGTTTCATTGTTAAAGTCTATTGTTAATCTTGTCTGATGTCTGATGTATATTCAAGAATAATGGAACTTGGATTATTCAATGGAAGGTCATTTCAATGAGATGGAACCGTGTTAGAACCGGAAGCTAGGTACTCGTCCTAAATTTAATATTTTAACATTATGAAGTTCTTCTGGTCAATTTCTATCCATACAGTATTAAGGAACAAATTCTGTTCTATCTAAAGTTGTCGACGACGCAGGAAATATTATAGCATCCTGTATATGCATGCTCGTATCTCATATATCTTTATATATAAAAATTACGTGTCACGTTGTTTGTCCGCGATGGACTCCTAAACTACTGAACTGATTTCAATGAAATTTTGTACACTCTGTGCGGTTTGGTCCAACTTGAGAGATAGGATAGTTTTTATCCCGATAAGTGACCCTCAGTATTTTTATTGCGTATTTAAGTATTTTTATAGTACAAAGTTTCGCCGCTAAGGGCAGAACTCCTCCGAAACGGCTGAACCGATTTGTATGAAATTTTGTGTGCATATCCGGTAGGTCTCAGAATCGAATAATAGCTATTTTTCAAACCCCTAAATGATAAGAGTAACCCACCCCTAAAAATTTTTTATTCTTTTTTACAAACATTTTAATTTTAATTTTATTATGATTTATCATTGAAAAATACATAACACTACGAATTTAACACCCTTCTACGATCAACCCCTTTTTTTAATCGCGATTTTTAAAACTAAAATATATTTCCTAGAAATAATGTATATATGGCAAAACAACGTTTGCTGGGTTTGCTAGTATATATATATATATATATATATATATATATATATATATATATATATATATATATATATATATATATATGTATATATATATATATATACTCATACGATAAGATCGCATTTAGGCAATTATGGAGAAATAGAGATAAGGGGCACAGACATAAAATATAAACATCGCACATATTAGTTGGTAGGACTGCTTTTCTGAGTGGTGAGTCCGTCTTCGTAAGTACCTCTTACCCCAGTGCTTCCACTGCTGTGATCCTGTCTGAAGAGTACATGAAAAGAACCTCTATAATAACAGGCTGTGCGGCATTCCATCTTAGTGCAGAAATGAAGAGGCGTCTGTAGCCTATAAACACCTGCAACCAACTTTAAAGAAAGAGAAAGTTGGTTGCAGGTAGACAGACACCTAGGCTGCAGTAGCTTAGAAAAAATTAAGAGTGAGAAACGAGCATACAGTCCACCTGATGGTAAGTACATTTATGCTCGATTAAATAGCGTCATTAGCCTAATGGCAGGGCGCGGACCGCGAACTTGAAAGGTCGTGGGTTCAAATCCGCCATTCGACTACTGTCGGAACCACTTCTAACACAAGCATTTTAAGCTTACCAGAGGTGGTTAAAGGGAATATTAGTAATGTTTAATAGCATTACTAGTATTTTTTTAAAAATTAATAATCAAAAAAGGGTATGCGGTCCTTTATACTCACCATACAAAACACAGCAGCATTAAGCTGCTATTGTACGGTGGTATTTTATGAGAGCGTTGTCCTACCCCGGCCGAGCCGACTCATTAGTGCTACTACCATAATATAAAAATACCATCTCAGGTGGACTGTTAGTTCGTGTGTCACTACAGTTTTACAAAAAAAATCACATACAGCGACAAACTTTTGAAATGTAGGATATAGGCCTTTTCAAGTCATCATCTTCCTGCCTTTATCCCAAGTTATTTAGGGTCAGCATAATATTTGTCTCCTCGTTTTCGTCTATTAGCCATTATCCCGTCACTTACTCCTTTTTTACGCATGTCTCTTTCAATGTTAATCTATATTTTCTTTGTTTTCTTGGGTCTCCCTCTACTCTTATTTTCATCCACTTTCATATCATACTAGACATTATCAAGTGCTATATGTGCCAATAGACAAGACCGAATTGGAACATTAGCGCATACTCATTACGCTGGGCAGGTGGGTTGGTGAGTGCAGAGTTGATACACACTAGTAATGCTGTTCCCTATTATCAATGCCACCACTCGCAAGACGTTTTATACGTGGTAGAGCTATGCTGCAGTACGAATAGGTCGGCTCGACCAGGAAAGGACAACGCTCTCGCAGAATACCAGCGTAAAATCGCAGCTTAACGCTGCTATGTTCCGTATTGTGAATGTAGAGAACCGGAGACCCTTTTTCCTGGAAATGAGGCATTCTATTCTTGTACTCACGGGTGACAACACGTCTGCATTTTGATTCTTTATATAGATATAGATGTCTTAATTCTTTATATAAGATATACATAGATGTCTATGGGTCACAGCAACCATTTACCATCAGGTGGACTGTGTGCTCGTTTGTCACCCTATCCTATAAAAAAAAACCTCATCCGTCAATCACCAGGGGCATATTGCGTGGAGGTGATGTTGCCATTAGGAGTGAGGTTGCCATTGCACTTAAGGAATGAAAAGAAAAAAGGAAGAAGAAAGAAATGTTTATTGCAAGCACGCCACATTCAAGGATTAAAACTTTTGAACAAAATAAATATGAATTAAATAAAACGCCTTAAACAGATAACATTACATTTATCAAAGTATTTACAATATACATTTATTTATAGGTATACATTCCTTTTTGTGCAAGTATTTGCACCGATTGTGATCAAATCGATTTGAAGATCATTTACCGTAAACTAGTGGTTCATAACCTTTTAGGTACACATCATCATTACAATCTTAAAGTTAATTCCGACCAAAGACAGATTCCACCATTAGAAATTGATATAATTAATATTTATTATGTCATATAATTTAATATGTCATAGGACATATTATATATATATATATATATATATATATATATATATATATATATATATAATATGTCTAATATAGGTACGAGTATTATCTTTCTAGTTAACGCTATCCATGATTATCGTAGATTATTGTATTATTACCTCCAGGAGGGCTTAATCTAAAAACAATTACTTACTCTCAGTTTGAGTATTCAGGGTCAGCGCTATGAGGGCCTTAAAAAAAATTTACTTGACCAGATTTATCTGTTAAAAAAGAAACATAATATTACTCTTTCTCTACAGTTGCGAGGTAAAGGTTGGGATCCAGTACTCTGGGTGAAAAACTTCAACCTGATCCGTTGGGTTGGCGCCAATGCGTTCCGCACCTCGCACTATCCATACGCTGAAGAGATCTACCAGTTAGCTGACGAACAGGGAATTATGATAATTGATGAGTGTCCTGGAGTCGATACAGAGTAAGTATATGCCGTAATATTTTCTGTATTTGCCGTTTGTTAGTATTACCTATAGTAAAATTATACAATATAAAATATACAAATGAATAATAAAAAAAATTAATGCATAGAAGCAGCACTTGTTTATTAATATCATGCATTTGGCAGACATTTCCACAAATAACCAGAGATATCAATTAGATAATAAAACATTTCAAGGAAATTATGGATCAGCACTCTGCTGTCACGTTAGTGATTATTTAAGAAGCGGCATAAGGCGAAGAGGCACGGCACAGGCGCGGCGCAGGCATGGTGCCGCTTCAATACTTATTCATATAATATTATGTATTAAAGCGGCGTGTCGGGAATTATACTGAAGCTGCGCGGCACAGGCATGCCACTTTTATCCGTTCCAATTTTGCGCCACACCTGAGCTGTGCCTCCGCACCACAGACTCCTTAGTGGATACTACGTATCTCCGCCCTATGCCGCTTCTGTATAATTTGCGCCGTAGGGAAGCCGAACTATGAATGGTCAAGCATTAATTTATTAATTCATTATATAGCCATAGCATTTTAAAGTCCGCTGGTACATATGTAGCAGCGGACTTTGAAAAATATATGCGAAGCCTTATGCATTCGCGTATATTGTTGCAAACGCAATTGTTAGATGGCTGACAAACGGAGATTTTTTAGTTCCTTCTCCTGGTTTGTTCCCCTCTGTCGCACATTGCGACAACGTTATGGGCTTGCGCGAATATTCTTACGCGGCCACTACACGGTAGAAACTGTAAAGCGCAAGTTACTCAACAATATACAGACTGTATTTATTCACGAGTCTGAGAATTAATATATTATTTTAAGTAACCAATCTGCGAATTTGTGAGTTTATAAATATTAAGTAGACATAAATTCGTAGCAACAAGACGCACGTCATTCATGATTAAAAGATCTACGTTGAAAAAAACAGACGAATAATATGTAAACATGTCATACTCATCCTCAAATAACACGGCACGTTGTTCGTCCGATAATCTAAACATTAGTTTACAGAAAAAATTTAGAGGTGGAAAGTGAAATACTCCCTATGTGGTATACGACTTAATGATGTTGCATTTAAACAGAATGGCTTTTCTCATCTATTACAAAGAGACTAAAATTTACACAAAGTTAATAGATGCATTTGTTTCTGTTTTATTAGTTGAACGGAAAATAGATTCAAGACTATCCATAGAATTTACTATCGCAAGCTTTTGTGCAGATGAGGTTAGCACCAAAGTTTTATTTTTACATTCCTCATTAGACCCAACCATGCCGACAATCTCAACTCCATTAGTAATGTCACCAGTTTCAAGTCGCTTACCTGTTATAAAATTATAGTTTTTAAGGCATTCCAAACAAAGGTTTAAGAGGGGATTAAGGTACTCAGGGTTTTCAACGCATCTGTGACATCAAGTACTCTATGTCTATGTGGTAGGACTTCTATTCTTCCTAGGATCCGTCTGGATAAGTACCACACCTTTACCTATTATTCCCGACAAATAGCAGTGCTGGTTCTGCTATATTCTGGTCTCAAGACAATTACAGGAATTCCACCTTAGTCTTTAGAGGTGACAATGCATCTGCAGCCTCCTTTATTTGAAGTTGGTTGCAGGTGTCCATTGACTGCAGTAGCCCCTTCAAGTGAACTGTAATTACGTACGTTTCTTCAGTTTTATTTAAAAAAAAGTATTTATACGATCCAGTAACCACTCGCCATCAGATACACACTGTCATGTCGTTTGTCATTATAAAATACTCTAATTCTTACTAACTTAACTAATCGGATGTGAAATTTTCTTCAGCATATTCTCGAAGTCTCTGCTGGTGAAGCACAAGCAGTCGTTGACGGAGCTGATTCGACGAGACAAGAACCACCCGTCTGTTGTCATGTGGTCCATCTCAAACGAACCCAGGTCCGCCAACCGTCTCGCTGACGCCTACTTTGGGTAAGATATGAATTTAGTACATGAGTTATTACGAGTATAACAAGGCAGCTTTTTGTACTTAATATTTTTTTTATCAGCCTATATATTAGACTTGAAAAAATGAGGAGCTTCTCAACCTGATTGTATGTTTTTGTATGTGTGTTAAGTGATAGCTTCGCTTCGTCGATTGTGAGCCGGTTTTCATCATTCCTTTTTTATTAGTTTATACCTTTAGGGGTGAAGTTTTTAACATAGCTATTTGGAAGGCATTCTAGTTGTTATCTCGAGCTTGGAATATTTCCTAGTCCACTCCAAATGGGCAAAAATTTTACTTTTAATATAAAACAAAAGCCGATATAATTTTTATCCTCCATCATAAGACGTCAAGACTCATGGGGGATTTCAGTCTTTTCAAAACAAATAAGTCGCAACTCAATGGTTTATAATGGTTGACTTTTGACAAACTCATGAGTACCCTCGCAAACCAGAACTAAAGATAATAAAAAACATGGGTGAGCGTCGTGGAACGCACGGTTGGAACGAAGTTCCTTTCGTAGTATATTATTATTGATAAACGTATTATATTATTGATTAACAAACAAATAAATGAATTACTAGCGTCTATTAATTTTTTTTAAGGATAGGGTGACAAACGAGCACACAGTCCACCTGATGGTAAGTGGGTGCTTTGGCCCATAGACATCTACATCTATCCTCATTTGCGAATCAAAATGCAGATGCATTGTCACCCGTGAAGACTAAAATGGAATGCGTCTTTTCCAGTAAAATGGCTCTCCGGTTCTTCTACACTCACCATACGAAACACAACAGTATTAAGCAGCTATTTTACGCTGGTATTCTGTGAGAGCGTGTTCGTTCCCCGGGTCGAGCCGACCCATTCGTGCTACAACTATACTACTAATATAACTGCAGCATGGCTCTACCACGTCTATTAAAATGAAGATAAAAAAGTGCGAGGGAGATGGATATTATTCCATCTCGCTCGCACTACTGAAAGGGGGTCGTGACGGAAAAATCTTACACTTTTTCTCGCCCAGCCCCCATTTGCCAAACTCGTACCGTGCGATAAGGAACTTAGTTCCAAAAAATAATTAATACATAATAATGTCTGAAATCGGACTTTAATTATCTTTCCTTTCTTCTTCTATTTTATTATTTGGCTTACAATAAATTCTTCTACAGAATACGTCATTACACCCACTGCCAATATCAACAGCCCACTTTTTTATAATATTATTATTAGAGTCTATGTGTGTGTTTTTCACCCTTTCAGAAAATAATAATTTAAATTAGCATCAAATCTCAATTTCGAATACAATTAATTATGTTACAGTGAAGTGGTTAGACACGTGAAATCGATGGATCTGTCAAGACCGATCACCATTGCCATATCCCAGACCTACACAACTGATAAATCCGTAAGTATTAAAGTAACAACACTTTTAACCCTAACTATTGTGTATATAAATGAAATTCCAGAAAGATATTTTGGGAAGTTGGCTGTTACTTAAGCAAGTAAAACTAGTAGACCCAATGACCAAAGCATAATAATGTAAAACCAACGAAAACATTTTTAAATTTAACGTAAGAAAGGGTTAGCAAATGAAGAAGACGACAAATTAAAGAAATAGTTGTTTTTATTTTGTTTTTAATTGTAATTTTACTAGCGGAACGATTGAAATCTTAATAGAAACAGTATCGGAGATTAAAAGTAATCACATGTAAAATAAAATTATGACTTTATCAAAAAAACTAACCTTAGATATTTTTAGAACCGGTTACCTGAATAAGAATTCTTAACTATTACTACCGAATTTGTTAATTGCTGACATTTTGTATGAAAACGAAACAGCGCCTCTCATGAACAAGTTTGTGAAACTTATTTTGGTAGTATGAGTTTATACGGTTATTTATTTTTATTTATTTATTTAAAAACTTAAATGTAACAACTTAAGGTAAAGGGTACATAGGTCGGACTTAATGCCATATGGCATTCTCTGCCAGTCAACCCTGGGTGCCAAAGACAAATGTAGGCAGGTACGAAACATAATACATAGATAAATAAATGTATACATATACGTAACACAACATAATATATTTAAATACATATACATAGAACATATATCTACTTACAATAGTACATATACACATAGTTATATGTAATGTGTATACATGCTTATAAACTTTATAAATAAATATCCGTATTAATAAATAAATAAATAAATATTTGAAGGAAAAAATATGTCAGTTAGTAAGTGTCCTCAGGAAATGTTGTCGTAGAAGTAATTTAAAGGAGTTTTTATTTGTTGCATTTTTAATATCATTGGGGAGGGTGTTCCACCACCACAAAGTTGGAACTTAATTGCGTGTAACTTCATCCTGACAAACTTACAAAAAATATGAAATTTTATTGGAATTAAATTTGCAACTTAACGTCAAATAAGTGGAATAATGAAGCTAACCTGCAGGCCTAGCTTCATTATTCACATTATGTACGTTTTAGAAAATTGTAATATCCGTAGACAAAGCTACAAAAATAACTATGACGTCCTCACCAGTTATCAGGGGTGACAACGCACTTAATTGTCAGTGTCTACATATCACTACATACATACATATCATCCACTTATCATCAGTTAGGCTGGTGGAAAATTTGATTCAATTATTTTTAATAGATACATTCTGAGATAGATATTAGAACCGCAATTTATATTACAGGGCTCTATTTATTTATGAATGAAATCTGACTACTAGTCCATGCAATTGTCATTTATGGTAAATGCTTAGTGTAAATGCTATAGTGTAACTGCAATTAAGCGTGTTATACAAACTGTCATAGGCACAACACCTTGACGTCATATGCTTCAACCGCTACAACGGCTGGTACCATGCGACGGGCTCTTTGACTACCATCACCAACAACGTGGTGGACGAAGCCACCGCGTGGCATATCAAGCACAACAAGCCTATCATCATGACCGAGTACGGAGCCGATACTATCGCTGGGCTTCATCAGGTAAGTTTTTTTCTTATAAAATAAGGGTGACAGCTGTCAGCATACGATGTCACATCATGTAAACCAGTCTTTCTCAAAGTGGCCGTTAACGCCCCCTTGTGGGCGTTGGAGACCTAGAGGAGGGGGTGTTAAGGGGTCCAGAAAAAAATGGGGGAGGTGTTGGCGTGGTTTACGGGGATGATGGATGATTTATAATTTCTTTACTAAAATTAAAACCTACCTACTACTCAATATCGAATAATTAGTTTATATTTTATGTTGGTATTATGATGGTATATGATTCTTCACTACTGGCCATATGAGGAAGCTCAAAGTCGCTCAGCGAGCTATGGAGAAGGCTATGCTGGGCATTTCACCTAGTGATAGACTTAAAAACGAGGATATCCGCAGTAGAACTAGAGTAACCGACATAGCCCAAAGAATTAGTATGCTGAAGTGGCAATGGGCCGGCCATATAGCTCGAAAAACCGACAACCAATGGGGAAGAAAGGTTCTCGAGTGGCAACCTCGTACCGGCAGGCGTCACTCCATCTAGCGTCATCGCGCTAAATGGAGTGACGACCTGGTAAGACATGCAGGAAGTCAATGGATGCAGGTGGCTCAGGACCGTGCTTTGTGGCATTCCTTGGGGGAGGTCTATGTTTAGCAGTAGACTTGTGAAAGGCTGTAATGATGACGATGGTGATGGTATATAAACTAAAAATACTTAACATAGATTTCGTAGGATAGAATACAACTTGATTGCGTACAGCGTACGGGCTACGCTGTACGCAATCAAGTTGTATTAAGTTTTTGTTAAATAACGATATTGGTGCAATCCGGTAGCAATCGGCTGGTTCATCGATACTTGTCTTAACATGCTCAGTACGTAAAATCTTTTAGAAAAATTTACTTCGCAAATATCCGCGTTATAAAATAAAATGATGTATCTTACCTAGTATGAAAAGCACCTCCCGCCCTCCCTCAATTGCGTGCACTATCCCCGTCACCACTAATCCCAGCACCGCTACTCCCAACACCACTACACTAGGCAAGACACACCACTGACGATAATACGACACGTGTTTCGCCTCTTGTTCGCCTCGGTGTGTCTTGCCTAGTGTAGTGGTGTTGGGTGTAGTTCACATAAGAATTATATACATATATAAAGAGGATATGAAACTGTATATACTCTAGTTTTACGTAGTGAACTGAAATTTTGGTGTCTGATTGTTCTTTATCAGTTTCAAGGGAGATGGCATCCCTGTCATCAGTACGCCTTTAACATAACTACGAATTATATTTAGATTGAATTTACCTTCTAGATGCCGGAGTACGTGTGGTCAGAGGAGTTCCAGGTGGCGTTGATGTCTGAGCACTTTAAAGCTTTCGACAAACTACGGCAGGCCGGCTTCTTCGTGGGTGAATTTATATGGAACTTCGCCGACTTTAATACTGCGCAGAGTACGTATCAACCATTAATTATATTAGAAATTAAAAATTTTATAAAACAAATTGTCCACATAGGTTGTACTCCAAATAGGCATTATCTTATTTCTAGGGTTTTAAAGCAGGAAACACACTGCTGGTTCAACGTGTTTTATAGTAGCATAAAGGTGACAAACGAGACCACAGTCCACCTGATGGTAAATGAATGTTTTGGCCCATAGACATCTATATCTGTCTTATCTAAATGAACATGCGTTGTCACCCTTGAGAACTAAGATGGAGTGCCTCGTTTCCAGTTAAAAGGTCTTAGGTTCTTTACACCATACGAAACACAGTAGCATTACGCTGGTATTCTGTACTTTAGTACAACAGTAGCGTGGCTCTATCAAGTGTGTTCATGGACAGTCTTTAGAACGTAACGGATTTATTTATTCAAGTGTTCTAATGATACCATATTTTTTTCAAATTTTTAAATTATTATTTAATACTATAAAAAAGAATTATGTGATATACCGACTTCAGCGGCGATGCGCTCTAGCCGTAACGATCGCGCGTAGTCCTATTTTCGGCGTTAAATAAAAATAATAAATAATGGAGATAGAATTCCGGGAGCTAAGATTTTTTTTTATTCTAAATTTCTCCTTCTGTAAGGATCTTTTTTCAAAAGTTCTTAAATATTAATAGTTTTTGAGTTATAAAAGAAATGTTTTTTCATCTTATTTTGCTTTTTATGTACTAATAAATCCTTGAGATACATTTTTCTAGACGTCAATTCAAATCGAATGCGGAATTCCAAATTAAGAGCGGGAACAAGAATTAACACATTTTTGAACTTGTTGACTAGACTATTAGTTGCAGTCTATCAAAAATCCTCTATTAAACATAAGCCTCCCCCCATAAATTGTCTCAGGATAATGACCACGCTTGGCAGCCTTATTGGCAACTGTAGATTTTTCCACCTCCCTCATTTTCGTCTTTTACCTTTTACGATATCCACGCGCTTGGGGTAGTAGATACTATTACTAATATCTGTAACATCTGTAACATAAGATTATCATTTAATTTTCAGCAATAATTCGTGTTGGTGGCAACAAAAAGGGCATTTTCACACGATCGAGACAACCCAAAGCTTCAGCGCATCATTTAAGAGCGCGCTATCTCGCTGTCGCGGCTTCTGATACCGGCACTGCACCACCTGACTCACTGTATATATCAGACAACAGATCGAAACTACACGAAGAGTTATAGATTAAATAGATAATTTTTACCACGTATTACGTGCAAAAATAAATATATTTTATAAGTGACTACTGAGGAAATATCATATATGTATCATTTTCTTTAAAGACTTATACACCTATGTTCCTTACAGGAATCCGTTTATTTAGGTTTAAATAAGACAAAAAGACTTAAGGTTTTAGTGTGTTTTAAATATAAACTTGTTAATTACAATAATAAGTTCAATGTATACACATCTGTTGTATAACTTTTATGAACGACCTCGAACGATTTAGGTAACTGAACTTGAACTAATATTAAAAATATTCTCTTTGTGTTTCTCGTTCTAATCGTAAAGGAATGCCAATAGATTTTCTGCCGACTTCCAAAAAAGAAACGGTACTCAATTCGACCGTATGTTTTTTTATGTGTGTTACTTCATAACTTTTTACTGGGTGAACCGATTTCGATGATTCTTTTTTTATATGAAAGCTGATACTTCTCGTGTGGTCCCATATGAATTTGATCAAGGTCAGACCAATAGTTTTTGAGTTATTCTTAATAACTTATATTGAAGTCGGCTGTACAAAATTTTTAATTTTAAATTATTCGTTTCTGTGTGCGTTGCATGAATTTAGTAATTTAGCTAGCAATACCGAAATTGTTTCGATACATACAAATAACATTTTTGTTACTTTTAGATTTAAGATGACGCTTTGTCTTAATTTATTGAATGTGCCATATCCTGGCAAAATGACCAACCCACTTTCAATTTATAATGTTAAATAATTGTATTTTAATAAACTACTCGGTTAAAGTTAAATTTGCACTATTTTAAAGTTTCCCTAATAAGCCTTTTTCCGTCCAGCAGTCCGTCCGTTACAACAACTACGAAATATTAGTTCTAAAAACGGATTATGCAAGTTTATACAAATTTCTATTGAGGTTCATGCACACACTTCAGTCACGTCATCGTCATGTAAACGTTACGTCACCGTTAAGTCATCGATCAACTCATATTAAACATTTTAGTAAGTCGTAGTACGGTACGGTTTCTTTACTCATGTGGTCGTAGTACATCGGTCGGCCCTACACGTCATCCACATCAGGACCGACGTGTCAAACTTGAGTGATTGTTTGTGTATGAACGAACTTTAAATCAAATAAAGGCAAGATGGAAATTTATGTTAATGTAATATTTTTAATGAAAATAGTCCAAAAATGGTACTGTTATTTAACAGTACCAAACCTTAAAAATTCTATAGAATATTAAGGTCTTAGTGTTTAAGTCATTGTACTTTTTATGATTTTTAATATTATAATAAAACTTAGAGATTTATTTTTTTTTTAAATTATATTTATAAAAAAGTACAATCAAGTTTATATATCTGTTATTGACGTGTATCAGTAATTTGTAAAGTATTTTAGATTCATGACTGTTGTATAATCTGCTTTTTATGGAATTGCGTGTCGTGACATAGTACATATTGTCTTGTTTGTAAATATTATGAGCATAAATAAAGTACAAAAATAAAAGCATATGTTTCATTATAAATAAAAATTTATTATATATAAATAATTGTTTACACCCGTTGTTTACACGTTTTAGTTAGTCTTGCCGGATTCCCGCATCGAACATAATAATATAAGGCCGGGGAAGAGTTTTTTCATATTTTGTATACAAATTCAAGACATTATTTTTAATATTTAATTATAATATACATATATAACATTTTGTTCGGTAACTCGTTGCCATATTGCATATACAACATGGTAGTGACATAATACCTTTGCTATAGAAGTATTGGGATTTTTGATCAAAAAACGCTACAAGTAGTTTTGACAGTCCTCTCTTGATATGAGCCTAACACTACCCCAAGAATTCTGAAGAGACCGAAACAGGTGAAAAGGTCAGGACTATATGGTGGATGGTGGATGCATTAACAGTTCCCAATCAAGCACTCTCAATTTTTGCTGAGTGGCCAAAGATGTGTGTGGTCTGGCGTTATCATGATGAAAGATCACTCCTTTTCTGTTAGTCAGTTCTGTTTTTTCTCGGTTCGAGTTTTGCCCGGTGGTAAAAACTCATAATAAACGATGCCCTTCCAATCCCACCATACACACAGCATCACCTTATTGCGTGTTAATTCGGGTTTCGCTACAGTTGGTGGACCTTTACTACTCTTTGACCATGTTCTTTTTCGCACGTTCTTGTCATAGTTGATCCAGTTTTCATCACCAATGATCAACCTTTTCAAAAATGGCTCTCTTTGAGCTTTCAATAAGTACACGATTCCTTAGGTTTTTTTTCAGTGACTTCGTGTGGTACCTAAATATCGAGTTTTTTTATAAAGCCAGTCTTTTTCAAATGGGTCAAAATTGTTTTGTGGTCAATTCTCAATTCCTTGGCTATGTCGTAACTATTAATATGCCGATCTTGCTCCACTTTTTCAAAAATGTCATCGACTTTATCCGTATGAGGGCGATCAGAGCGAGCTGCATCTTCGACATCAAAAGCCCCGGACCATTGAGTTATATGTACTACGTACTAGAGAAGCCATTCTAAACAAAAAATGTGCACTACTCTATGTCTTCGCGCATGCGCGGCCGATAGTAGAGTCGCGCATACTTCTTCTTCTTAATAACTTATGTTGATGCGTCACATTGTGTAGCTCTTGGGAGATTTTGATGGCAACTTGAGCCAGCAGACAGCTGACGGTTGGCGATAGTATCTCAAGGCGCCTAAGCAGACAGACACCTTATTTTGAGAATCACATCACCATCAGAGCACTTGTTTCACAGTTTCCGCTAATAGTTCACATGCGCAGACACTTAATACACAAAATCGCACCACTTTTACATATCAAAGTCCACTTCAAACAATTATTTAAACAATAATACAGGAGCAGCAAACCGCCGCCGGTCAAGTTCCCGCCAAAACTACTAGTCGCGCATACGCAGTTGCGCCACCACAGACTAACTAGTAGATTGACACTACACTAAATGACACACTGTACGGATTGCAGTTGAACATAGTGTATGTTCGGAATGCGAATTCTAGTACGTAGTACATATATATCGATGCCCCGGACCGAAAACGCTTGAACGAACCTTTGTATGGACCTAATACAGTGTCAGTAAGACTAGTACAAACTCTTCCTGACACTGCATTAGGTCAATAAACGTCAAAAAATTGTTTTCGCACCTTGAGTTGCATTTTTCCCTTTTTTAGAGGAAAACTTCAGAATGTATCGAATTTCTTCGTCATTTTGGCGGACAGAAAAACAATTGAAAAATGGCGGGAAATTGTTTTTTACATTTTCATTTTCTTTTTCTTAATATCCTATATGTATTGATATTAAAGCCAGTCAGATATAAACATTACAACCAAAGAGATTTTAAATTTCTCCCCGACATATTATCACAGGTGACTAAAATCAGAGTTTAGATGTTAGTTATCAAGTACTGTGATTGGAACAGACTTGTTACCAGCGCTAAATTGCATGTAGGCAAACAAATGTCATCCACCGCTTATATTGGGGATGCTAAGGTAATTAACCCACTAATATAGATGTCCATTTAGTTCTATACTCTGTCGATACGATATCCGTATGTATCTGTCGATACGATATTCGTTAATCGTCACTTTAATGATCTATCACGAAGCAGCGCAACGCGCCAGGGTCACCTCCCTTCTCTATTTTCTTAGAACTTAAAGCCTAGGAAAAGAGATAAGGAGGTAAGTAGTTTCCTTTCCAACGATATCCTGAATTTTATTATACCATGATTTAATGAGGTATACCCTATAAGGCAGCAATACTCCGGAGGCGTAGAGTAGAAGTGTAATGGTCTTGTTCTTCAAGAAAGGCGACAATTCTCTACTGAAAAACATCGAACCGATTTCCCTTCTGAGTGGCGTTTACGTAATAGTTTTGCGAGTCATTGCCAATCGTTCCGCACGCAGATTTCACTACTTCCAACCAGTTTCGAAAAGGCTTTAGTACCATAGACCACATACATACTAGTCGGCCTTGAGCAAATTCAATAGAAGACCCAATCTGCCCCTTTGTGTGTGTGAACTGTGAGAAATCCTTTGATTCCTCTGAATTTAAGGCGTTCCTACAGACCTATTAGCGATGCAAAGTCCACTGTCTGTCGAAATGCTAAAGGGTTCAGTAGGGCTATAATGGATACTAGAGTACATAGCCACAGTACGAAACCTATACAAATGCAGAGGGATGTAAGTCGGAGTGACGTAATATGAAATTCGAAACTGTTCACCGCTGCAACGTTTTCAAGCTATTGTACTGGACATAATACTGTATCAACAGGTTAACGTACAATTTAACGATACACAGCATGGTTTTCGGACCGACCGCAGCACAAATTCCAACTTGATGTGGTTATTGAATCACTTAGCACCAGCTCTGATTCAAAAGCCGGTGCCCTGCTGGACGTAGCTTATTTCGACTTTAGGAAGGCTTTCGATAGTATGGACAATGACGTCTTGTTGAGGAAATCCGCAATGTCTGGTTTCACTCCAGACCTCTTGCAGTTCTTTTCTAGTTATTTAGGGAACCGAAGGCAATTCGTGGACTACGCTGGCTACACCTCAAACTCGTATCGAACTCTTACAAGGGACAGTTAAGGGCGTAATTTGGGTCCATTAAAATTTATCATTATGATAAATGACCTTCCACAGGAGACGCGGGTTGTTTACTCTTTGCGAATGATCTCAAATTATTCCTAAGGATTACTGACGAGTTTGATTGGGACCTTTTCCAATGCGATATTGATCGGGCGGTGGAGTGGAGTTGGGAGAATAAATTGCTGTTTAATATATCAAAATGCAATGTGATGTCTTTCACACGCACGAGGACCCCGATACATTTCAACTACCTCATGGAAGGGGATGTCATCAATTGCGTTGGCTGTATACTTACGTGATCTTGGCGTCTTATTTACCGAGGACGTAACGTTTCGTACTCATATTGTACAGGTGTGTAAAAAGGCCTTTAAAAACCCAGGAT